TGGTTGATGTTTTTTGACACATTTTTTCAAGAATTACTCTGAAAATTGGTAGTTGTAGATCATAATGAGTCCCAATTCGTGTGGCGAGTCATTGTAATTATAGGTCCACGTTTTGGTATAGCCCCCATATAACCGTACCTCCCGACATTCGGTAATTTGATGATTTTTGCCACATTTTTTCACGGATTTGTCTGATTTTTGCAGGTCATAATGGGTTCTAGCTCCGTTGGCGAAACATTGTATGTATAGGTCCATGATTTGATATAGCTCCCATATAACGGTACCTCCCGATAATCGATATTTTGATGGTTTTTGCCACATTTCTTCTAATGTTTCCGTTACCCTAAGGTGGAGGGTATTAAAAGTTTGGACCGACCGAACTTAATGTTTTTTTTACTTGTTGTAGTTTTACGAAGCTGTTCTACCTTATTGTACCATGCATATACACATTTTGTGTGTGTGTATTGTTTTGAATAAAAAAATACAATAATTTGAAATTCATTTAAATTCGGTTGCAAAACAATTGCAACTTTTCGACGAAATGGGTAACAAATTGTACCATTTTGTGATAAAACTATATTGTCCTCCTATTTTAGATTCAATCTTGTGCAATAACCCCTAAATTCCATCCTTATTTCGCGGTTTTTTTTCCCAATATAAGAATTTTGTAAAAAAAAAATTAAAAATAAACAAAGCCAACTGTTGCATGATTAAAGGTCTACAAGACTCCAGCACAGAGTTGCATTTTTTAATTTCTTTGATGTATATATCTTTGAATATCAATTTTCGAATAATTTGTATCACTAAGAACTTTTTGTATCCCTCCTATATATTTCCAAAACAACTCTCTTGTCGACATCATATTAACATTAGCAGAAAACTAATGGTACAATATTTTAAACCATAATAATTTTTTGATCAAAGAAGTACTCTAAATCAAAGTTCTGAGAATCAAAAAATTAAAATGTTCACAATTCTCTTATTCATAATTGACTTCTTCGAATTTGCAAATTGTCTGCTTTGGACTTTCATATTTTATTGCCACGCTGCACGTGCCGAACCTGAGAGAGGTAGCGTTTTGTTATTGATTTGTTTGTGAGTAGATTGCCGTTATGGCAACGAACCCCACAGGCCTGTCTCCACATCCGCTCCGCTTTGCCATTAACTTGAGGGCTTTCCATTAATTTGCAAACTCTTTCGCCGAAGAAAAGCAGGAAAACGCTATACGCAAAAACAAAACAACAAACAAAAACAAAATTACCATAAACTAAGACGTCCTTGAAGCTCCATGGTTTATAACCAACGGGGAAGGAGCACGGAAGACCTTGTTCAAGTTTCATACACCTTTGCAGTTTTCAACGTCAAGGACACAACAAACAGAAAAGCACAGCAGCAACAACAACACCAAATGGAACAAAAACAAATACGTAACTTGTATATGCATATGTATGTATATGGTTCATACTTTGTATTTTGGGGATAATAGTGTGACCTGATCGTAAATTGTAGGCATATGTGTGAGAGACCAAAAAGTAATTAGATATTGAAAACAATTATAGAGAAGACGACAAAATAATACCAGTTTATCCAGTGTAAATATAGGATATACCATTGTACAATTAATACAAGATAGGATAACTTTAAGAAAGTTGGGAGAAAATGGACCTACCTACCCATGGTATAATAAAAAGGTAAGGTAGAGCTAAAAGCTGATTACAATTTGTTTCTGAGTGCGCCCGACTTTTGCCAATTTTGTGTATGTATTTATTGTTTTGAAAAATAACAACAAAACATTTTCAAAATCAATGAGTGGAGGGAACGTAGATTGTCGGGTGCGCTTTGTAGATGTTAACCAGTTTAACCATGGAATTGAAAGATTGGACACTCTGGATCATATTTTTGAAATAAAATCCAGGCACTTTATTTATCATTCGCTTTATTCAAGTCATTTTAAAAATGAGGAAAAATGTGAAATAAATGGAAAAACTTGATGCATATAATTTTGAATAATTCTGACAGGAATCGATCATAGCCTCAGAGCTGTATGTCTATAGTTTTACCGAATTCGGGCAAACACAGTGCACAAGTTTCCGTATCCGATGACGAAGAGCATGTGCAAAGATTCTAGGGTGTAAGCTTGAAGAAGCTTGAAGTCATTGCTAGGCATATTTTGTGACTTTTTTATAAAGGGATTACAGAGCCGCACGTTTTCCAATCCGCCGTCGTTTTCCAATATAATTTGACATTAATATGCATACCCATGACTTCAAGCTTTTTATGTACTTACACCTTAAGAAATAACAAGTAAAAAAGCTGTAAGTTCGGCCGGGCCGAACTTTTAATACCCTCCACCATTTGGTACAAAATTGGCAATTTCCAAAAAATAAAACCCGTTAAAAATTCTGTTAAAATCTTAAAAATACCGAATGCTTATACGACGACGTGGGCCTGCATAGGCAACTTTTGTCATAAATTATTACAATATTTAAATGCGAAACTTGAAGAAAAATCTGTTTATAATGTAGCTAAAATCGTCAAAATACCGAATATGGGGGGTACTGTTATATGGGGGCTATACGAAGACGTGGACCTGCACAGACAATTTTCTGGCATGGGCTGAAGTATCCATTACGAACTTCACATACGAAATTTGAAACAATCCCTGTAAATAACGTCGCTAAAATCATTAAAATACCGAATATCGGGGGGGTACCGTTATATGGGGGCTATATGAAGACGTGGACCTACATGGCTCATTCTTTGACTTTGGATGAAGTATCCATTACGAACATCAAATACCAAATTTGAAACGATTCCGGTAAACAATGTCGCTAAAATCATCAAAATACCGAATATCAGGGGGTACCGTTATATGGGGGCTATATGAAGACGTGGACCTACATGGCTCGTTTTTTGATTTTGGATGTAGTATCCATTACGAACTTCAAATACCAAATTTGAAACGATTCCGGTAAACAATGTCGCTAAAATCGTCAAAAAACCGAATATCGGGGGGTACCGTTATATGGGGGCTACAGGAAGACGTGGACCTGCACAGATAATTTTCTGTCTTAGTCTGTAGCATCTATTACAAACTTCAAATGCCAAATTTGAAATAATTCCGGTTAATAATGTCGCTAAAATCATCAAAATACCGAATATCGGGAGGTACCGTTATATGGGGGCTATATGATAACTTGGACCTACATGGCCCATTTACGAACTTAACCTGCCTACTGGGAAAAAATACATGTGTGCAAAATTTTAGCCTTCTATATCAATTTGTTCGAAAGATAGCGTGATTACAACAGACAGACAGACAGACAGGCAGACCGACACACAGACAGACAGACGGACATGGCTAAATCGTCTTAGAATTTTACGCTGATCAAGAATATATATACTTTGTTGAGTCTGACATGAATATTTCGAGGAGTTACAAACGGAATGACAAAATTAATATACCCTCCATAGTATGGTGGAGGGTATAAAAACGAAACAAAACTAGTAAAAAAAAACATCAAATTCGACCGATATTTCGTGCGTAAATGTGACAAGGATTATCGAAATACCGAATATCGGTGGGTACGCTATAGGAATGCGTGGACCTAGATATGCAATGTTCTACCACCGGAGGTAGAACCCATTACAAACTACAAATAAAATTTCTTAGGCAAAAAATTTCTTAGGCAAGAAAATGTGCTGAATATCGGAAGGCACCGTTATATGGGGGCTATACGAAAACGTGGACATATATATGCAATGTTCCGCCACTGGAGCTATAACCCTTAACGAACTACAAACAAACATTTTTGGACAAATCCGTAAAAAATGTGACCAAAACCTTCAAAATACCAAATATCGGGATGTAATGTTATATAGGGACTACACGAAAACGTGGACGGATATATCTCATTTTCAATACCAACCATCCCAGATACAAAACAAATTGTTGTCCCAAATATTTTAAGGTCTACTTCAAATAATATGGGCTGCATTGTGATTCCAACACACAGACGGACATCGTTAAACCGTCTTAGAATTTTATACTGATTGTGAATATATACATATACTTTATGGGGGCTACGACTAAAATTTACGAATGTTACAAACAAAGATAATATACCCTCCTTTTCAAGATGGAGGTCTTAAAAACTCCCTCGAAAATATTTGCGGATTTTTCTTAAATAACTTTAAAAAACTTAAACAAGTTAAAAAGCAGTAAGTTTGGCCGGGCCGAACTTTGAATACCATCCACCATTTGAAACGAATTTGGAAATTTTCATAAAATAAAATTCTTAAAAAATTCTGTTAAAATATTCTATATACGACGAGGACCTACATTGGGATTGTTATTCATAAGCCATTACCATATTCAAATTCGAAACTTGAAATAAACGGTGAATAATGTAGCTAAAATCATCAAAATATCGTATATAGGGAGGTACCGTTATACCGGAGCTGTGCGAAGACCTGGACCTGCAGAGACAATTTTCTGTCACAGGCTGTAGCATCCATTACGAACTTCAAATACCACATCTCAAACAATTTCGGTGGGTAGTGCATCTAAAATCGTCAAAATACTGAATATAGGGAGGTACTGATGTATGGAGCCTATACGAAGACCTGAACCTGCATAGACAATTTTCTGTCACAGACTGTAGTTCCCATAACGAAAAATAAATACGTAATTTGAAACCATTCTGTTGAATAATGACGCTAAAATCATCAAAATACCGAATATCGGGAGGTTCCGTTATATAGGGGCTATATGAAAACGTGGACATACATGGCCCATTTACGAACATAACCTGCCTACTGGAAAAAAACATGTGTGCAAAATTTTAGCCATCTATCTCAATTCATTTGAAAGATGCGTGAAGAAGCGTGATTACAACAGACAGACAGACGGACATCGCTAAATCGACTAATCGAGAGATTTCCGCTGATCAAGAATATATATATATATATTGTTGGGTCTGACATGAGTATTTCGAGAAGTTACAAACGGAATGACAAAGTAAATATACCCTCCATAGTATGGTGTAAGCATGGTACAATGATATCAAGGTAGGGTTATGATACCATATTTGCTTATGTATGTGTTTTCTTCTCAATAACAAAAAAATTGTTCAGAAAATATTGAAATTCGGGTGTTTTCAAAATGTTTATATCAACGTATGCATCGACAAAATCTAGAGTTTTTGTAGCGAAATAATCCTTTAGAGATATGTAGTACATGATTTTGAAAAGAAGTGTTGACCTTTCATTCAGTTATCGCGGTTTTCAATTATTTATTCAAAATAAATGCAACAAGTTGTTTGATTTTTTATTGTTTTGATACTAATTCTGACATTACAAGCCAAACAGGAAGACCTCTATACTTGCAATTTTTTCAAAGTTGACCTACCTTCTCTTCATTGTACCATGGGTGTAAGATATCTTGCAAAAGAGTGTATGACAGTACCTTATTCTCTCAGAAAGAAGTTTCTGTACAATTAGTGCAGAAAAAGTAAGCAGACACACCTAATATTTCCAACTTTTGTCAAAGCAGTTGCCACAATTTAAACGGAGGTTTTTATAAACAAATAATACAAATAAATGATATTTCGAAATATTATTTGCTAAAAACTAAACGAAATTTTAGTTTAAGACATCTTTCAAATTTTATTAAAAAGCCCTTTGGACCATTCATTGAAACATGGATAACAAATTAACACAGCTTTCAGTGGCCCTATCAAAGAAAACTGACAACATTCATTTTTTAAAACCCATCTTCAACCAAAGCCATTTTAACGCTTATGGACCTTTGGACTCAAAATATGAAGCTATTGGCGACAGAGTCTTTCAATCAAGCGCCTTGAAGATATTTGCTGCGGTGTTATTGTACATCTGGCGACAGAGAGGAAAGGAATTAAATGAATTGAAGGAATCTGTAATCACCCTCCGAGAAAAGGTAATGAATGAACCAATATAAATGGGAAAAGTATGGGCACATAACACAACATTTTTGCAGTTATGCCAAAGTAAATATCAACTCGAATATTGCCACTCTCAATTACGAGCCGAAGAGAACAAAAATCATGAACTCAAATGTCAGCTGAACAACATCCTTAATATGTTGCACGAAACTCAAATGTCCTGCAAAGGATTGTCAGACACGATATTCAGCTTGAAGACTGATAAGAGGCTATTGGAACAGGAGCTTAAAATGAAATACGAGGACTATAACGCCCTGCATACGATATTAATTGATACCAGAAAAGATTTAGTTCAGAGCATTCTGGAACAGCACAGCCACCTTTTAGCGATCTCTCAAAAACAGCGATCCTTTGAAATATTGGAAAACCATGCCAACCAACTCCGACAACAAGTAATGCTCGATATATAATCTGTAAATCTGCAAATTCTAGTTTATTTTTTGCAGATGGCCGATTTGTCTCGCAAACATGCTGAAACAAAACTTCAATTAACGGATATGATCCACATGGCGAATACAAGTGGCGCCGAATCTAAACGGTAAATTGCGTTACAAATTACAAAAATAAGGGATAATGATTGCCGTTATGTGGGTGGTGCGTCTAAATCTACGCTACTATTGAACATTTTTTGGCATCTATAAATATCCTCACTTCTGAATGACATTTTAGATTTAATTAATTGAAAATTATTAAAAAAAATAAATAGTTTTTAAAATGTTTACATTTCAGAAAACATCTTGGTAATTCGCAAGTATGTCAAACAACGGATAGCATTTACGATCGCAGAACATTTTGGCAGAAACATATTAACATCGGCAGATCATGGCAGAAACATCTATCAGCACTTTGGACTCAATGGGGGAAATTCCAATATGTTGCCGTTCAATATGCCCACATATTTACTTTCTATTTACTTCCAGCCATTCCCCCTCCACCTGGCAAATGTCTGGGAATATAACATAATTCAAGAAATAACTGCATGCAAATAGTTTAAGAAAATCAGGCCTGTTTACACATCATGATAGAGTCATCTGTAAAATGGGATTTTTTCACATTTATTTTTAGCATTTTTATAGCATGCTTTAAGGTGTATCCCATACTTTTTAAACCAATAACGTTTCGTAATATTATACAATTAATATATTTATAGTAAACACAAAATATTTTAGACCAAAGGAAACGCTTTATAAATTAATATCTTTAAAGTTTAAATATTATGTTTAAAAGTTGATGGAAACGCTTAAAAGTATACTGTAAAGATGCTATATAAAATGTGAAAATGTCACTTTAAGTCTAACTCGAACATAATGTGTAAACTAGCCTGTAACATTACGAAATTATCAGAAAACGGAGAATAAAATAAATTAATCTTTTTACTATTTCATCAATTTTAATATCTAAGATACCCAGTACTCAAGCTGAGCCTATATTAGAGCGCAATTAATAAGACAATTATGGTAATCTATCTATGTATTTAAAAGAGTAGTGAAATAACTGACTGACTGAGAATCAACGCCCAGACGAAATGGCTGAAGCTAGAATATATTGCAATTTTCCACGAGGGTCAGTCTTTTGGTGGGTGATAAGATTGGGTTTATTAAATTTAATACTTTGTATTACACAAATGTGAATGTACAAGAGATTTTAGAAATTCGAACTATAATGTTACTATAAGTTCTAAAATGGTACAAAATTTCTAAAATTTGATGTCATGTGAACGGATAGAGCTAAAAACTTGAAACTTAGTATAAGAAACGAGGTGGGAGAGTAAGTTTGATATATGAAGGTGGTTTTGGAATTTTTGCGAACTGTTCTAAATGGTACTAAATTTGAAACAGTTTGGTTGACGTTGAACGGATGAAGCTGAAACTTCTTAGTGTAGCACAAAAAGCGTGATATAAACAGAAAATATTTAAATGTTTTGGAAACTTTCATCTCTGTTATGAACACATGCTAAATTTTGTTTCGATCTGGCAACTCCTTCATATAGAAACAAGTGTTCAAAAAAGACGCATCCGCAACTTTTTTACAATGGAATAATTAGAAATGGGTGCTGTCATTAACTATTTACATAAACAAGTAAAAAAGGTGTAATTTCGAACGGGCCGAACTTTGAATACCCTCCACTATTTGGAACGAATTTGACAATTCTCAAAAACTATAAAATCCATTAAAAATTCTGTTAAAATCTTAAAAATACCGAATATAGCTGTTATATTAGGGTCTATACGACGACATGGACCTGCATAGGTAACTTTTGTCATAAGCCATTACAATATTCAAATGCGAAACTTAAACCAGTAAAGAAAGCCTTAAAATCGGGCGGGGACGACTTTATGACGACACTTTGCTAATTAATAGAGCTCCACATAACAAATAAAAGTTTTTATGGGAGAATTCAATCATACACGCTTTAAAGTTCAAAGGACTAAATATGCCGAAGCATTTGTATCTTTTAAATTCGGAATTGTATTGCCCATTTGGTGCACAATTAATCTGAAATCGGATAAAGATATATATGGGAGCTATATCCAAATCTGAACCGATCTCGATAAAATTTTGCAAATGTATTTCTGAGCTGTATTTGATATATTTCCCCAAATATTGTTGTTGCAGAGTGCATATTACGCGGCGGTGGACAAAAATAACAAATCGGATGAACAATACATATAGCTATATCTGAACCGATTTCGATCAAATTTGGCACACTTATTTTCAGGCCTAATTTGGGTGTACATGCAAAATCCCATACAATTCTGGTGGATATTACATGTTTGGTGCGCAATAAAAGGCAAATCGGACGAAGATATATATGGGAGCTATATCAAAATTTTGACCGATTATCTCCAATTTCAATAGGGTTCGTCCTTGGGCCAAACAAATGATTTATGTAAAATTTCATCTGGATCGGGCAATAAATGCGACCTGTACTTTGTTTACAAAAATACATGGACAGACGGACGGACGGACATGCATAAATCGATTCTATTCAGATCATCAAAAGGACCTATGGGTCTATCTCGTTTCCTTCTGCCTGTTACAAACAAATGCACAAAGACATAATACCCTGACCACCTTGTGGTGTAGGGTATAAAAAAATCGTTGAATAATGTAGCTAAAATCATCAAAATACCAAATGTCGGGAGGTACCGTTATATGTTGGCTACACGAAGACAATTGTCTTCCATAGGCTGTAGTATCCATTACGAACTTCAAATACCAATTTGGAAACAATTCCGGTGGATAATGTCGCCAAAATCATCAAAATATCGCATATCGGGAGGTACCGTTATTTGTGGGCTATACGAAGACGTGGATCTACATGGCCCATTTTTAATACCAAAAGTCCTGCAGATATAATACACATTTAAATTTTTATCAACTTACTTCATTTCGTTCGGAAGCTAGAGTGATTTCCACAGACGGATAGACGGTCGGACAGTGCTAAATCGACATAGAATTTTATGCTGATCAAGAATATATACTTTGTGGGGTCTAAAATGTATATTTCGAGGTGTTACAAACGGAATGTCTATCTGGCTTTCCTTTTCACTGCAAATTTCAGATCATTAAGCTCGTCTCGAAAGAGAAACAAACACATAAATCATAAACATATGATCTACGCCTAAACAAGGCAAAACTCAAAAAAAGCTTGTTTGGATCGTTTTAACAGAAATAAAATGGATTTTGAGCGTCGTTGCATAACTATTGATGAGATATGGATACACCAGTATACTCCAGAGACAAAAGAACAATCCAAACAATGGACTGAAGCTGGAGGAAGTGTAGCAAAGATGGCAAAACAATTCAATCGGCTGGTAAGGTTATGGCAACGCGTTTTTGGGACTTCAAAGGTATTTTATTGATTGACAATCTGCAAAAGGGTAAAACAATAAACGCACCAGCGCATAAGAGTGTTTCAACAATGGCTAAAATCCATACCTTAAGAGTTCGGTCCAGAAATGGGTCCTAAATTCGCGTGATTTTGCTTTTTACCAAAGAAAATAATTTCTTTCTGACAATTTTCACAAAAAATTAAAACTAATTTGTCAACAAAGGACAGATTTGAGAAAAGTTTATGGAGCATTGTTAAAAAATTATATTAAAATTATATTTTTATAATATTGTTCTCAATCTATATTGTATTTTTGGTATGTTGGGTTGTTCTCAAGTCATATTGGTATGTTGTGTACAGTTTTTGTATGTGTATGTATTGTTTTGAATAATAATAATAATCTTCTATCTTCTATATATATAAAAATCAATTGCTGTTCGTTGGTAATGGAATCAGTTGAAAACGGCTGGACTGATTTGCATAATTTTTTTTGCAAACGTTCGTCATATCCCGAGTTAGGTTTTTAAAGAAAAAAATATTGACCACTCCTACTTTTACGTCCACTATCTTGATTTATCTAAAATCTTTATATTTGAAAGATAATGAAGATATCGGTTTGAAAATTATTACATGAGATGCTATTGACTTTCCCTCCAACCCTAGGGATTTATTTGGGGGCTGAGGAATTGACCACGTATACTTCTAATCTATCTATATATATAAAATAAAGTTGTGTTAGTTACTACGCTTATAACTCAAGAACCGCTGATCTGATTTTAACGATTCACACAAATTCGGAATTGTTTCTTGGCAGAAAAGGATAAAATTCAAAAAAAAAAAAACAGTAAAGAAAGCCGTAAAGTCGGGCGGGGCCGACTTTATGATACCCTACACCACTTTGCTAATTTAGTAGAGCTCCACATAATAATTAAAAGTTTTTATGGGAGAATTCAATCATACAAGCTATGATTATAATTATAATTTAAAGTTCAAAGGACTAAATATGTCGAAGCAATTGTATCTTTTAAATTCGGACATGTGTTGCCCATTTGATGCACAAATAATTTAAAATCGAATAATAATATATAAGGGTGCTATATCCAAATCTGAACCGATCTCGATATAATTTGGCAAAGATATTTCTGAGCTGTATTTGATATATTTCCTTGAATATCGCTGTTACGGAGTGCATATTACGGCTGTGGGTAACAAATATGACAAATCGGATGAACAATATATATGGGAGCTATAGCTATATCTGAACCGATCTTCACTAAATTTGGCATACTAGCTTCTAGACTCAATTCGGTCGTAAGTGCCAAATTCCATCCTATTTAGACAAATATTAGACGTTTGGTGCACAATAAAAAGTAAATCGGACGAAGTTATATATGGGAGCTATATCCAAATCTGAACCGATCTCGATAAAATTTGGCAAAGATATTTCTGAGCTGTATTTGATATATTTTCCCAAATATTGTTGTTACAGAATGTATATTACGGCTGCGAAGGACAAAAATAACAAATCGGATGAACAATATATATGGGAGCCTTAGCTATATCTGAACCGATTTCGATCAAATTTGGCATACTTATTTTTAGGCCTAATTTGGATCTATATGCAAAATTCCATACTATTCGGGCTGATATTACACGTTTGGTACACAATAAAAAGCAAATCGGACGAAGATATATATGGGAGCTATATCTAAGTTTTGACAGATTATCTCCAATTTCTATCTATCTCGTCTATCTCGTTTCCTTTTGTCTGTTACAAACAAATGCACAAAGACATAATACCCTTACCACCTTGTGGTGTAGGGTATAAAAATCGCGTAAAGATGTGAAATTTTAAAATTTTTATTTTGACTTTTGAAGTGTACAATAGTAACGTTTTATTTTGCATGATTTTTTTCCATTTTGACTTACTATTTTGAATGTACATTTGTAGTGTTTTTTTTTTTTTTTTAATTCTAATATGATGTGTAGTCTTTTTGGGTAATATAAAGCGATGAAAATTATGAAGTGGCGGACCTGAATATATGATGTCAAAATAAATTAACGTGGTCAAACCAATGTTAAAAAATAATTACTTTTTCAAAATTGCTAAAAAATCAAAAAAAGAGCCCATTGCATTGCAAAAACTCTAAAATCGGGGAAAAAAATAGAGAACATTTTGCAATGGAATCAAATTTCAAAATAATAGTAAGGACCAAACTTCGAAAGGACCTTTAAACATTCACTGTAAAAAAACAGCGAACAAGTTTAAGGTTTTTTATTTCAATTTGTTTATTAGTTACTATGCTTAGAACTCAAGAACGTTATGACGGATTTTCAGAATTCATACAACTTTGGAATGGAATCTTGGCAAAAAAAAATGCGTAAAATATGCCAATAAAAATATAAAAGAAAAAATCCTTTTGGCGTGAAATTTTTTCTGTTTAAAAACTATACAGAAGTGTACATTTTTTATTGTTTTGAATTCTGAATAAATAATATCAAAAATGAAATAGTACGCAATACAATGTTAAATGGCGATCTTTC